TACCCTGTTTCAAAAAAAAAAAAAAAGCCCACACACACGCACTTTGTAATATAATATTATTAGTCAAATTAGTACGGATATGAAGGAAAAGTGCCAAGCTGGTTCATTTCAATGCTCTGATCATCTCTTTTGTTGTTGCTTGTCTAAGTCTTTAAATGAGGGACTGAATGGGAATAAATCTCATTAAGACATTATTTGACAGCCATGCTGGTGTCCATCGTATGAAGTATAAGACTTGTACATTCAGATCACAAAGAAATGCAAAAGAATATGAATGAACATCTCATGAAGACCATTATCATTTATAATCTGGGGATATTACTCAACCCTATATTTGCATAACATTAAACTCTATGAGGTCCTCTTGTGTATGGAGATTATCTTCATGCATTTCATATTTCCTCTCTCATCCCAACCAGTTTGAAAATCACTATAAAAGACTTGCTGTAGTGATTTTCTGACTACTGCCTGAAATTACGAAGAAGGATTCAGGTTGAATCTCTCACAGTTGGCCTGCAGTGTGTTAGCTGAATTTCCTCCAGTGGCTGCTGATGCAGCTGCAACCTATAAATAGGCCCACCCCAGACAGGCAGAGGGAGGAGGGCTTTGGTTAACCCCTGAAAACCAGTCCTGATCTGAACCCAATAACAGGCAGCATCATTAGAGAGTCAGGAGCTTAGCTGGTTGGCCAGGAAGGATACAGAGCATCCCTCCCTCTGGAGAGGTCTTGGCATTATCACATCGCAGGAGAGACACAGGACCCTGTTTTGAGCACCTTCAAACTCGCCCCATTGTTAGCTACCTGTCATGGACTCTCCTTTTGCCTGTTGGCTGTTCCCTCAGCCAATATCCGCTATCTGCCACAATGCAGGGAGGGGTAGCTGACTCTCTCCAACCCGTCTTTTCATATACCCAGATGGCTGAATGTTGGAAAGATTTGGTGCCTCCGTGCCTCACATGCACTGCATGGCCTGGATTCAACAAAGCAGTTACAGTATAGCAAGGCTTTGCTTCCCCATTGGTGCATTTCTGCAATCAGAGAGCATTCATCTCCCTCTTGCCCTCCCTCATGTACAGC